CTGAAAAAGAAAGATAAAGAATGTGCTTGCTCTTTATGTATGCCTTTGGGAGGCAAACATGGTGGGAGAAGAACAAGGAACATAATGCTGGTATAACGGTAAATGGGTATATGTTTATGTAGGAAACCAGCAGGCGAGATTTCCAGGTGGAACATGATTTATGGAAGAGACTATGGAAAGACTGAAAAGGGGAGGCAGCATGAACTGCTATTTGCCTCTCATGCTTGTTTGCACCAGGTTTATATTGTACTTAATTAGTACCATGCTGCAGAGCCTCCAAGTCTTCCTCCCAGTGAAGCAGTTTTGCCTAATGTCCAACCTGAACCTCCCAAACTGCAATTTTTGGCCATTTGCCACTTGCTCTGTCACCTGGCACTACTGAGAAGATTTGTCTCTGCCTGGAAAAGAGGCTCTTCTCATCCTCCCAGCAGGCTTTCTGCTGTTTTAGCTCTACCTGAGCTCCTAGCAAGGTAGGAGATCCCAGGGAGCAGAGACTCCTTTCAGACCATGTTTTTTAATGGATGCCGTTAAACGTGGCTGCAGTCCCAGGAATGGTCTGCTCCATGCTTCAGTTTCCACTTCTGGAAAACGGATGAATCCCAGCAGCAGCATCCTGCCCTGTCTGCACCCTTGCTGAGAGGCAGGGGCTGAGGACCAGCCTGGCCCCTCTTGCCCCTGGTCCTTCCAGGGCTGTGCCCTTCCTCCTCAGGGGAGGCAAGCTGAGGCAGGGACAAAGGTGGGAGAGCAGAGTGGGTGGGCAGGGGCTTCCCTCAGGCTCCCTCCTTGCTCATGCAGGTCCTTTGTTGTTGCCCTGACAAAAGCAGCCCTGTTCTTCCCTGCAACTATTCCTTGTCAGCATCCCTCAGCATTTTGGCTGCAGATTTCCTGCCCACTGGCAGCCTTTCAAGAGGCAGCTTGGGCACAGAATATGGACAGAAAGTGGATTAGTGGGGCAGTCTGGTGGAAGGTAGCTCTGTGCTGTGGGGTGTGGGCAGGGGCAGGTCCGTGTGGTGGGACTACTCTCCAGAAACCTGATGAGCAGGGTAGTGGTGTCCACAGCAGTGGCTCAGCTGCTCCTCCCTGGAGTCCTCCACCCTGCATCAAGCCAGCAGGGACCTGCCTTGGGTCCCAAATACTGGTGAGGTCAAGTGGTTGGCTCAAAGCCACACAAGAAGCCAAGATCTGAAGCTGAATTGGGGCCTTCCATGGCTAAAACTGGAGCCGTGACCACCAGGCTTGCCTCATCATCCCCTCCAGACTTCAGCTCGCTATTTCTTTCCACACTTGAGAAGCTGAAGCAGCACTAGGGTCACTGTGCCCCCTTCCCTGGCAGCGCTGTGCATGGTTCTGGCACTGGCCTGTTTGACACCAACTCTGCACTGTGCTTTGTTTCATGGTGTGGATCGGCCATGAGGCCCCAAGGCTGTGGAAACAGGGGCCAGATGGGCAGTGAGCTGGGTGATTCCCAGGCTCAGGAGACCGGCTCTTCCAGCTCCTCTTCACCTCTTCCCCACACAGTCCTGCTGAGAGACACCATGGGCTCAGCTGGCCATGGAGCTGGAGGGTCAGCGGCTGTCCTGTGTGTGTAGGCTGCACTAATCCTGGACATGATCTTGGGGACATTAGTCCCCACAGCAATCGGCTAGCCCACGATATCCCAGAGGAGAGTCTTGATGGCCTCTCTGAGGTGTTGAGCCCCTTGCCCATGCCTTCCCGTGCTGATGGGGATACTCTGCATCCTCCTGGGTTGGAAGAGGAAGGGGCCCAGAACCCCCTTGCCACACTTTGCCTTTGGGAAAGCTGCTTGCAATGGTACAGTGATCCCAGCAGTAAGCATACGCTTCACAGGGCTGCTAATGGGAACCATATGTCAGAGAGGGGCCTCTCGCCCTCCACAGTCACGCTGCTTTCCTGTGCCGGAAACCCCTTGGCTTTTGGAGAGGCTATTAGCCAGCACTGGGCTACACTGGGCTGGGGGCCTGCTGGGAGCAGGCTGGCTCTGCAGCGAGGGCAGCCCTGGCAGCCCTGCTGGTGAGGGAGAGGGAGCAAAGGCTTCCTGGCTGCAGGAAATGTGACGCTTGAGAGGCAGGTCGGGGGGGACTGGGGAATTTCTTTGAGGGGCCATCCCAGATTGCTTCCTTCTCCCTACATCTGCCCCCAGGGTCAGGCAAGAGGTGAGAGGGGATGGGAGAGGCTGCTAGGCAAAAGCTCTGCAACCAAGCAGCTTCTGGCATGAACGCTGCCTTCCTCACCCCAAGCTGCTCCCCATTCGGTGCTAGAAGACAGAGCTATAGCACCTCTCTGGCTGCTTTTACATGGCAGCAGGCACATGTCCCCTGCAGATGCCAGATGAGCTCCAAATCCAAGGTCCTCAGTGGAATACCAGCTTGCTGAGATCAGCAAAAAAGCCCCCAGAGCAGGACCGGCAGCTGCCTGAAGTGACTTGTGGGCAGGCAGAGCTGGCTGCTTGGGTACCATGTATGTCCTGCTGGCTGTGGTGCCATGTCTCTGGAGCACACCGAGATCCACCTCCCTCTGTGTCTGCCATGTTGTGGCCACCACTGCTGCCATCAGGAGCTGCTCCGTCTCCCTGGGTAGACAGCACAAGCCCAGATCCCTTGGAGAAAAGGGGTTTTTTTGTATACATTTTCATCAGGTGCTCCCAGCAGGGGCAGGAAGAGCAGAGGCTGTAGAAGCAAAGGGGTTCTCACCTTGTCCTCAGCCAGATGCCTGAAATTGCTGGCTGCATGACTAGGAAAGGGACAGTCCTCAGCCCTGCTCTTCCCAGGCTGCATAGATGTCTAAGAGCCTTAGGGAACAGAGGTTTGGAGAAGTTGGCAGTTACAGTGCCAGCCTCCACAGTAGAGACTTGGACTTGGCTTTCTAGCTTTGTCACAGATGCTCTCTGCGTGAGGTTCCCCCGCGCACACTGGAGGGTTGGCCTAGCTATTGTGAAGGCTTCATAGCATCAACATGGCGGCATGTCCGTAAGTAAAGCCTGTGCCACTGGTGTTCCTCCACTCATGAAAGCTTGTGTTGACTGCCTTGGGCTCAAATCCTATCTTGTGCAGACTAATGCCTCCTTGGAAGAGTGATGACAGCAGCTGAGAGCCTTCTAGAAATCCTCCTGTGGTTTCTAACTTGTTCGGTTTCCCTTATCACTTCAGCACACCCTTCCCCTTTGAGATTTCTACTCTTGCCTCTCCTGTCCTTTGGCAGGAAGGACGTTTAGCAAGTTCTACCCACATGCCTATAGGGCAGCTACACTGAGGGGACCTCTCATTTGAAATGAAGGCTGGAAGA